CAATTAAATCTCACCAATGAGAATTTGAACAAAACTTCTTATTTAAAGTGAAGAGAAATTTAAACGAAAAAGAGGACTCAGAATATTATAGGTGTGGGATAATTGGTAGGTGGATTGATAACCGAATGAAGAATAGATGAAAGTTAATATAAATCTTAAGATATATATAGGAATTTGGAACTATGAAACATAAAGGAGGAATCAATCTAACCTCTGTAGAAAACTAACACTGTCTGACTGATTGTATTGTATTGTATTATAATAAATTTCAAAAAAAATTTTTTTTAAAAAAATGGAAGAGATAGAGGATATAGATATAGGGGAATGTGTGCAAACATGTACACCAGTAGTGGGTTTCTACCAGTTCACCCTGGTTCGGATGAACTAGTAGTGGCTCTGCCAACCCACCCGGACGTCACCACAGATGCCCTGTGCACTCACAGAAGGTTCTGTGCATGCGCAGAAGTGCTGTGTGCAAGCAAAGCAAGCACATGCATGCACACATTCCTGGTTCCGAACTGGTAGCGAAGGTAAGTGGAACCCACTACTGATGTGCACATGTACACAGAAGTAGGTAGGTGTGTTTGTGGGCCCACATATGTCAATGGTCTTCCGGGTGCGATTCAAGGTGTTAGTTATCACCTTTAAAGCGCTCCATGGCTTAGGACCTGGGTACCTACGAGACCGTCTTTTGCCACCAATAGCCTCCCACCGACCAGTTCGTTCTCACAGGGAGGGACTACTCAGGGTACCGTCAGTCAAATTATGTCGACTGGCGACTCCCAGGGGGAGGGCCTTCTCTGTGGGGGCTCCAACCCTTTGGAATGAACTGCCCCCGGAGATACGGAATATCCCTGATCTCTGTGCTTTCTGCCGTGCCCTCAAGACCCTGATGTTCCAACAGGCAGGGCTAAACATACAAACATGTGAATGATTTTTTAAATGTTATCTAATTCTGGGTTTTATTTAATTGACCAAACTAAGTAATAATTTTAATTAGCAATTTTATGATGCTTGTGTGTCTATATTTTTCTTGACTGTACACCGCCTTGAGTCCTACGGGAGAAAGGCGGTATAGAAATATAATAAATAAATAAATAAATGTGAAACTAAAGGAGAATGGTTTAATTTTCAGCATAGTTGTTTTTTTTTTTTTAATTTGATTTATATGCCGCCCTTCTCCGGAGACTCAGGGTGGCTTACAATGCGCTAAGCAATAGCCTTCATCCTTTTGTATATTTATACAAAGTCAGCTTATTGCCCCCACAACTGGGTCCTCAATTTACCTACCTTAGAAAGGATGGAAGGCTGGGTCAACCTTGAGCCTGGCGAGATTCGAACCTGCAGTAATTGCAGGCAGCTGGTCTTAATAACAGGGTGCTTTAGACCACTGTACTACCAAGGCTCTAGTACAGAGCCTTTGGGGAGGATGCTTGAAACAGGTGCAATAGATAAAACATAGGAAATAAAGTAAAAAAAAAAACTATAATATTTCCTCTTTAAATTGAGTAGTCCATTGACAAAGAGAATCAGCAAATTATTGAGTCTTATTTTCATCATTGGGCTTTAATAAGATAGAACTGTTACTTTGTAGATTTTTTTTGCATATCTTTTCTACAGATTTATCAATCAGTTTGATAAAAAAGAATTATTAATTCAATTTAATGAAAATAATTTGAAAGATTTTTCAGCCAGGAAGGTTTTAGAGTAATGTGAAAATATCTGGAACAGTGGTTCTCAACCTTCCTAATGCCACGACCCATTAATACAGTTCCTCATGCTGTGGTGACCCCCAACCAGGGGTGGGTTCTAACATTTTTTTACTATCGGTTCTGTGGGCGTGGCTTATTTTGTGGGTGTGGCTTGGAGGTCATGTGACCAGGTGGGCGTGGCTAGGTGGTCATAGCCATGGCTATGTTTATAGGGACTACTCAGAGGGCTGAAAAAAGTCATTTCTGACAGATCCTCGCACTTTTGACCATCCTCACATTTATGCCCGTGCACCATTCCTAACAACCATGTCATTCATTTTACAACTGCTTCTCTTCACCATGGTGATAAGATAGGGCAAAAAACGTAAAATGTGAGGACAGTCGTAAATTCGAGGACTGGTCAAAAGTGCGAGGACCAGTCAAAAATAACTTTTTCAGCCGTTGGAGTAGTCCATGTGCACAAAAGGACTACCCAGAGGGCTGAAAAAAGTGATTTCTGACAGGTCTCGCACTTTTGACCGGTCTTCACACTTATGACTGGTCATCATGCCCATTGTAGCATTCTTAACAACCATGTCACTCATTTCACAACTGCTTCTCTTCACCATGGTGACAAGATAGGGCAAAAACGTAAAATGTGAGGACAGTCGTAAGTTCGAGGACTGGTCAAAAATGCGAGGACCAGTCAAAAATAACTTTTTCAGCCTTCTGAGTAGTCCATATGCATAAAAGGATACAGCAATAGAGAGGGATGAAGGAAGGGAAGGTAAATTAGAGTAGGAGTGAGGGTAAGAGAGGGAGGAAGACTGGAGGAGAAGGAGAAAGGAAGAGGAAGTAGGAAGGAGAAGAAGAGGGGGCGAAGAGAAAGTAAGAAGGAAAGAAAAGAGAGAGGTGGTAGGTTTGAGGAGAAAGACTGCTGTACAATAAAAAAGATGAAAGGGAAGAAAACCAACCCCAAACAAATATAAAGATATTAAGATAAAGAATGAATTGTTAAACTTTAAAGAATAAAAGAGAACAAATATGAATAAATAGCAATAATTAGAAACACACATACAAACATACAATGTATTTTCTTTGAACAGAGTATTTGGCTGGTTCACAAATTTAAACAGCGTTTAGTCATTTCAATTAAATTTACAATTTCTATATTTCCTTTTTGCCATATTTATTCCTCATCTATTTTTTTAAAAAAACAATATTACCCTTCATCCTCATCTCTAATCTTAATCAAATTCAATTTTTCTCTTCTATTCTATATTATAACCCTTCCCATTGTCTTCTATTTTTATATCCATCCTCACATTGGTTAATTATGTAATTATGTAATACAGTTGTTTAATACAAATTCAACATTTTAATATAAATCAATTAGTTATATAACTATCTTTTTTGTACATCAATCAATATGAACATGAATATTCCAATTATTTCCATGCAATCCAATTTCTTACAAATCAATTAATTATATTTACCAATAATAATAAACCAAATAATTTCCCCCATATATTCCTCCAAACCACAACTTAACCATTTCTGCTTTCAACACAATATACAATTAATAATATCTCAATTATTACAATTCCCTAGTTAAATAGAGCTTTTTTCCTTTTGTGCTTTAAAATCTTGAACCTCCTCTTTTGCCCTAAATTTCCCATTGTTTGCAGTTTTGGATCTACCTTTTTTGGTGAGGAAAAAGAAAAAGAAATCTCTCTCTGCCTCATTTTGTCACATTGCAGCAAAGACCCTGCTTTACTTTTAGTTTCATTTTTCAGCATAGCTAGGGGGGAAAAAATCTGCTCCTCTCTTTGCAGCTAGCAACAGAGCCCTCCGCAAAACAGCTGAGAGCAAATCAGCTGAGAGTCCGAGGCTGATCAAATCAACTTATGGTAATTAACCTATGCTGAAGCTGAAAGGGGCTGTTTTTTTCTATTTTTGCAGGCACCGGTCTTCTCATTTGTTTTCTTTTAACACTGATCAGCTATAGGGCGGCCCTTTGAAGCCCCGCGGCAAGAATTTAAATGGTTTGTTTCCCTCTAGCCATCAGCTGGGACTCAGGAGGCAGCAATAGATTGGGAGTGGGCGGGGTAAGCGAACGGTGATCCAACAGAGGCAGAGGGTGAGGGTGAGTGAAGGCATGGGGAGGTGAGAGAGGGCTTTGGCGACCCCTGTGAAATGGCCATTCGAACCCCAAAGGGGTCACGACCCCCAGGTTGAGAACCGCTGATCTAGAAGGAATGGCAGAGCCAGAAGGCAGAGTCAAAAGAGGAATCAGCCTAGAGCACAGGTGTCAAACTCGTAGAGTCACGTTAGTGTCACATGAAGTTTCGTGATGTATTTTCCCTTCGTGGGCATGGCCTGTGCATGATGGATCTGGCCCACCGGCTGCCAGTTTGACATCCCTGGCCTAGAGTCTCTACACTCCCACAAGTGGTCTAAGTCCAACTTCTGTTAACCCTTATCCTGGTGCCAAAATTGTGCTAACCATAGGTTGACTAGATTCCTATGCAGGGAATGAACAATAAATTAATTTAATTGGAACTTAATTGGCCTTATTCTTTCATGCCAGGCATGCAGTAGTCAAGCTTTCTGCCACCTCCAACAATATAATAAACTCAAGGAAAGTTTTGAGTCTGGCACTCCCAAAAATAAGAAAAACAGAACCCTTTTGTTAAGCAGAAATCTTTCAAGAAATTGGGAAGGAATGTGAAGTAAGTATAACTCAGCTAGTTTTATTGTCTAGCTAGCATATACATAAAAAAACTCTTTGATTTGCTGTTTTGTAGGCAGTTACTCCCAGCATAGCCCAAAATTTCTGAAATCAGAAATCTGCAGAGAAATCAACCTTAATGGATTTTACTGCTTGTAATCTGTATTTTTCCATCAATTTCTGAAATTTTAAATCTTTTTTGGGGCTTGATATGTATATTTTATTTTTTCTTGAGAATAAAATGTGCCCTTCCTTTCCCAGAATTGATTCCCAGATAAGGACTTTTAAATGCTACTTTTTAAAATCATGCTGTGAGAATTCAATTAGAACTGAACAGGAAAAAAATAAATAAATAATCATTAGTATGTAAGCTGCTTCTTGAAGCTGAAATGTCTCTTCTTTTCTTCCTGTGATCACTTAAGGCTCAGTCATTTGTTGTGTTGTCTCCCTGAATTCTACCACCTGAGATAAAATGGCAGCACTACAAGGAAGTTAGCAATTAAATTAGCAATTGCTTGAGGACAAGGAATGGCATAGCTAAGCAATATGAAGTAAATAAAACTGAGATTGAGCATGTTGCACAGGGATTTTAATCTTTGTGGTATAAATATTATTTTTGAAAATGTAGAGTGAAATCCTGGAGCCATGTCCTACTTTAATGGGGCTCTCTTGTGTATACAGATGTTGTTATGGCCTTCACTTTCCATTCTTCATCTACGGTCCCCCAACTGCACCATTCTACATTAGGATGTTCTATTCATTATGCTGTCCCCCTTCACATTATTCAAAAGAAGGTCCGTCTTATTGCTAGTTTCCTCATGAGAAGTAAAGTGCCAAAGCGATCACTGATATTCCATAAATTAGAATGGATCTTGGAGAATATGTAGTCCAAATCTACAGTGTATGCAGTGCAGCAATACAGGAATTTCTGTAGGGTAGAAAGTGTTAACGTTAAAATCTTATCAGAATAAATGGGCTGATTCTGTAAAGAAATTCAAAGCTCCTACTATGTATATCGGGTTTTAAGGAACTGATGTGAGTGGGAGACAAAAGGGGAAAATAAAACAAAAATAAGAATCAAACTACTTTACTAATTCAAAGAGTTATCTTTTAACAGATACGCCTCTAACCAGGAATTCACAAACAGAGAAAGTATGGATAAAAAACCACTGGGTTCTAAATCAAGCAGCAACTGAATGTCAAGAGTCCTCCATTTATGGCCATTCATTTAACATTTCAGAGTTATGATGTTGCTGAAAAAAGTGACATGATTGGTTCTTTCTTTTACAATCACTGCAGTGTCTTCATGTAGGTGATTAAGATTCATGTATTTGTCAAATGGCATGTATTTACGATGGTTGCAGCATCCCAGGGTCATGTGATCTTTTGCTATACATATTGAATAAACAAATAAACAAATATAGGGATGGTATAATTCACTGTGCTGGAGTGGAACAATGTGCCTTAGTGATGCAGACTTCAGACATCCATACACGCCAATATTGCATAAAGTCCAACACATAATCATCTTAAGTAATGGGGCATGAATCTGATCTTCTTGTCATGGGTAATGTCAGTAATGCATCTGCATAAAGTTCCTGTGCTTAGTTTTTATAACATATGACTAAATGTTTTAACATAATGAAGAAAACAAGGCAATCATAGTCTTTCACGTATCCTGTGATTTCAGTGTTATTTACTAAATTCTGTTTGCGTAAACCAAACATAAGAAATTAGAACTGCAACCTAAAATTTCCCAGTGTGAAATACCGGCTAAGCTTTTCATCTTCTAGTTTCATCCTGATTATCGATGCCAGCAGGAACCCAAAAATAGTTTGAGAGCACTAGGGAATAATTTTCAAAGTGTAATATGGGCCACTGTCTAGAGCAAAGGAATTCTATTACAGCCTCAAAGACTAGGTACCTGGTCCATTTATCATGATACTGAAATTTTTAGTCTCTGTACAGAAGAAAAACAAAACAAAACAAAACCCTTGAAAACCAAGGACCTTACTAGTCAGAAATGGAGCAATCCATCGAAATTCAGGCTCTCCAATTTTGTAGATGTTTAAAGTCTGTTCTCTTCCAGCTTCACAATAATAAGAACACTTTTAAATAAATCAGTGTCTTCAAAAACTATCCCTTCCTTGTATTTTAATGAACTAAGCCAATAGTTTGTTTGTTTATTTAAAGCATTTATATGGCTACCCATTTTTCAACTAACTTTGGGTTGGAATATAACTTCTGTTTCACTTAAAACTGCCACAATACATATGTCATGTGCATAAAAATACCCTAACAAGCATTAGTGTATGATGAAGTGCTGCTACACACTGCCACATTACTTGTTTTATTATTTATTTATTAGTGTTTTATCCTGTCGACATTATTTATATAAGTAACTCCTGATGGTAAGGTAAAAGTAAAGGTTTCCCTCACACATATGTGCTAGTCGTTCCCGACTCTAGGGAGCGGTGTTCATCTCCGTTTCAAAGCCGAAGAGCCAGCGCTGTCCGAAGACGTCTCTGTGGTCATATGGCCAGCATGACTAAACACCAAAGGCACACAGAACACTGTTACTTTCCCACCAAAGGTGGTCCCTATTTTTATACTTGCATTTTTTACGTGCTTTCGAACTGCTAGGTTGGCAGAAACTGGGACAAGTAACGGGAGCTCACCCCATTAGCGGCACTAGGGATTCGAACTGCTGAACTGCCAACCTTTTGATCGACAAGCTCAGCATCTTAGCCACTGAACCACCATGTCCCTTCAACACCTGATGGTAAACATACCTAAAACTCCTTTCTCCTCCAATTTTCCCCACAACAAAAATCCTGTGAGGTGACTTGAGCTGAACTGTGACTGGCCCAAAGTCATACAACTGGCTTTATGCCTAAAATGGGACTAGAACTCATAGTCTCTGGATTTCTAGCCTGGGGCCTCAACCATTTAGATCAAACTGGCACATCATACAGGAAAAAAAGAAGTTTGCTGTCATGTACTCATGTAGACTATCATGTTATTTTTTCTCTCTATTTGGGGACATGCCATCCCTTGCCAGAAACATTTGCAGGTTTCATTTTCAATGTGTGTGATAGTTGTTCCACATGACAATTTCCTTCTTTTCTTCCAAAAGAAATAAAATCTTCCTGGAATATTTAAGTTATGAACTTCACTTTGAAGTTTTATTTATTTTATTTATTTTTTTGTTAAATTTATTTGCAGCCTATCTCTGTTGTTTTTTATCCAGATTCCTCCAACTTCCAGACATTGTGAGAGGACAGAGACAGTCAAAAATAACTTTTGTCAAATATCCAAAAGTTAGAAATTGCCAGGAGTATTTATTGAAATGATGATGATAAAGAAGATTGCAATATAGAAGTGAAAAATAAAAAGACCTTGAGCTCTTGTCTATGGAGATTCTTGATCATCCAGCTCATGGCTGTTCCAAAGGTGCTTTTTTAAGAGGCAACTGGACTTTCTGGGTTTTTTTTTTTTTTTTTTGGAAGATGTTTTGCTTCTCATCCTAGAAGCACTTTTGGGACCTTGAGCTCTCGGTGCTCCATCCATGTGGTTTCTTAGCAGGGTTACAATACTGATTTGCCATTGCTGACTTTTGGGATGCTTTAATTATTTTTTTATTTAATTAAATGTCTATGCTGCCCATCTCAGTAATACAGTGACTCTGGGTGACTTTGTTAATTTATTAATAAATACAAATAAATAAAATACATTTTTAAATAAATAATGCTTTGTTAATTATTAACAATCAAGTGGTTTCCAACTGAGATAGTGATGAAGGGTGACGGACAAAATACTTGAAGGAAAATTTGGAACTTTGTTATTAAAAAGAGCCGAGGTGGCACAGTGGTAAGAGTGCAGTACTGCAGTTACTTCAGCTGACTGCTAGTTCAGCAGATCAGTGGATCAAATCTCACCGACTCAAGGTTGACTCAGCCTTCCATCCTTCTGAGGTGGGTAAAATGAGGACCCAGATTGTTGGGGGCAATATGCTATTTAGTATACTGTCTTTGGTGTAAGCCGCCCAGAGTCCTCGGAGAGTGGACGGCATAGAAATATGAATAATAAAATAAATAAATAAATAAAATAAAATTATAGCACCCACCCTTTGGAACAACTTTCCCCCTAATGTAAGATTTGCCCCCACCCTCCTATCCTTCTGCAAGAACCTAAAGATCTAGCTCTGCTGGTTGGCCTGGATCCTGATGGGGGAGTTGTCAGTAGGTGACTGCTGGATTGATGGCGGACTTCACCTCTCCCCTTGCTCTTTGCTCTCTATCCATCCATCATTTTGTGATCATATTGATGTATTCTCATTGTGTTCTTTTCATTATTTTATTGTTCTATTCTTTTACTTCTGTTTACATGCTTTTCATTTCTTCTTTTTTATTGTTGTTAGCCACAAATAAATAAAATAATAATCATCATGAATTTTAGGGCTGCTCCACATAACAGGCTTACCTCATTTAATAGTCCATTAAGTAAGTAATCTCCACCCATCTATTTCAGCTAGTGTTGTCTAACATCTGGTGGCTCAAGATTGCTTCATCTTCTGTGCTTCATTTCATTGTAGGCAGACATTTCTTATATTTTGGGGGCAATGTCTACTTCCTTCCATGGCCAGTTCTTTTCCTAAATCACCGAGAAAATTGACATACATTCTGCTGCTTCTCTAATTGTGTCTTTAAGTGAACAGAAAAATATAAAACAGTAAGTTTTTCTTTTTCTTTTTTTTCTTTTGGCAGGCTCAAGAAGGATAAAGAGGAAAAGAGACAGACACCAGTCAGAGATTAGACTTCTTCCAAGCCATCACTGTGGCCAAAGTGGAAGAAGGGATTATAAACTGGAAAGGGACTTCTAAAATTGGCTTCCTTTCCAGCTGATTTATGCATGGGAAACTCTAAGTTGAAGGCTGCAGTGAAGAAATGCGCTTAAACCAATTTTTATTATTCAATGTCAAGCTGTGCAATTGCTTCACTTTGGTGGTTAAAAGAAGGGAATGAATAAAAAAGTATCTCAGAGGGATGTGTTACTTAATTCTTGAAGGAAACCAAATATCCTTTTGTTGTAGTTGCTTGTGTTTAAACTTTGTGTAGGAGCCATGGTGGTGGAGTGGTTACAATAAAGTATTGTAGGCAAACTTTTCCCACAGCCATGAGTTTGATCTTGACCGGCTCAAGGTTGACTCAACCTTCCATCCTTCTGATATCGGTAAAATGAGAACCCAGATTGTTGGGGGCAATGTGCTGACATTTGTAAACTGCTCAGAGAGTGCTGTAAAGCATTGTGGAGCAGTATATAAATCTAAGTGCTGTTGCTGTTGCTATTGTCTTTAAGTTGCTCATGTTGGCATTTATGAAGAAAGGAAGAATTATGAATTCCGGAAGTAAAAAAAAAAAATCCAACCCATGTTTATATGTTGCATGTCTCAAATAATACTTTGTTTATATCCAAGAATTCACGATAATACCTGAAGCAATGGATAGTGGATTCCACTGTTTCCAGTCAGGAAAATATTGTAACCCTAAGAATATTGAAGATAGCTAGGTAAGGAGAAAAAATCTTGTATTTCCATATTGGTTGATATATCTATATCTATATCATCTATATCTATATCTATATATCTATATCTATATCTATCTATGTGTGTGTATGTGTGTATCGTCAAGATGAACTTTTTTTTTAAAAAAAGGGGGAGGTCTATCATGTTCTAAGAGGACTAATTAAAAAGTCCTTTGCATTAACTGAATAGATGTTAGCTCATTTTCAAGTGGAACCTCATTAAGGCAAAACCTTCTGCACAAATATCTCTTTCCAAATAGAACTTCTGGCAATTATTAATGATGTTTCCATGTGAATTACCATCCGCCAAGCTATAAAGCTAAAGAAATCCAATATAAATCCAGGGTCGATTGTGTCTAGTGGTCTTTTATTTATCTGAAGCCTTAGTTCCTTTTTGGAAAGCAATCTCATTTTGAGCGAGTGGGGCTTTCAGAATTAGGGAGCATTGTAATGAAGGCATTACTGTCAGTATTCAGGGTGGAATGTATCTACCATTTATTATTTATGAATTTGTGAAAATCAGTGCATAACACACAGATATTTGCATCTCCTCATTTTAGGTTGTTTTTGTATTTTTTTTAAACTTCAAAGAATGAAGAAATAGGTAATTAAACCAAATGAAGTAAATAAAACTCAGTGTTAATAGGATGTAAATAAAGCTTTAAACTAATGAGAAATGAAAAGCCTATTACCTGCTGATGAATACATTGTCAATATTGCTTCATGCTTTCTACTTCTTTGAACATTAAAAAAATTCCAGAGGCTGTCCTTCACATGACCAATCTTTTGAAGAGAAGAGACATAATAAAGCAATAAAGTCTTAGAAGCAACTAATTTTTTTAAAACAAAAATGAGGGCTACGTTGCGGGGTGCATAAATTTATTCTTTATTTATATTTTGTATTTCTGGACTGCCTATCTCCCACTAATAGGAATGGAAGAACTGCAGGTGCTCTTATAGATTAAGACACCTCCGGTTTCTTGCACTGTTCTTCCTAGGTATGCATAAATTTCTCTGGACCTGTACTGAGTTTGATTTTTAGCAACTCACATCCATGCAGTTTTCTTGTGTAGGAAGAAAAATCCAGTTCGGTGTCAAGCTGGGAGAAAAACACTGGAAATAAAATGGAGGCTGCCTACAGGGAAAGAAGGTTTCTGCTTATTTGGTTTCCAGAAACTTCAGTGACAGCAGCATGTTTCTGGGGTGGCTAACAGAATGGCCGAGTGAGTGGATGGATTTTTATAGGGGTTTGGTGATTGAGATGCTCCAGAGGTTTGTGCAATATAGTGAGCTTTGTGTCTTTTGCTATTCTAATTGTGGTGGGTAAATCTTATTATGTCCTAAGGTCATGTCCTGTCCTTAGAATTTGGGTGGGGGAATGTAAATTCTTAATTCCATCAACTCCAGTCTTCTGTGGGAGCTTGTGGCTGAAGGTGTTTATGAACACCAGTTGATGAATAGATTGGCCCAGTCTTTCTGAATGGATATAAAATCTCCATTCTCCCTTGAGAGTGGAGACAGCAGCCAGATGTGGGTTATGCTCATTGGTCAAATGTGGACTGAGCCTGTCAATTAATTATTAAATCCCGCCCCTATTCCTAGGGATTCCAGCTTTTTTGCTCAGTCGTCAGACTGGACAGTTGTGTGGAAAGTGTGCTCTATCTGCTTTTCAGCGTTAGAGTGTTATTTCTGCTTAATTTCTTCAGTTCTTTTATCTACTGAACATTTTAATTTAATTCACCTATACTTAGGACATCTGAGGACGTTTTCTACTTTCAGCATCAGAAAACATCGTTGAAACTGGTCAGTTAATCATTTCCTTGGAGCATTCCGCTCCCTTAAGGGGGCGGGGGGTTTAATTTTGCCTTTATCAGCAGAAGCTATTTTAAATGTAAAAAAAAAACAAAAAACAAAAAAACAAAAAACAAGAACAAAAAACAAAAAAAACAAAAAAAACCAATTGTTGAGTCTTGCGCTCACCTTGTCACAGCTAATTTAAGCTGATCATTAAAGTGGAGTTTCGCACTCCCTCATGCTAACCGCTTGTCGGCCACTGAATAAAGTCACAGCTTTACAGATTGTTGCTACAATCTTTACATCAAAGTCGGCTTTGACGCTTTTAAAAACAGCCTCCCTTTGCTGCTGCTGACTTTAACTGATTTCAGCTGTTTAGCGCTGAAATGCGGCTAAAAATTTAGCCGAAAAGAGGAGTCTCACGCTCCCAAGATCATCTAAAAACCTTTTCTAACATAAATTGATTTCAGCTGCTTAGAGCTGAGTTGCGGCTTCAAATCTAGCCGAAAGAGGAGAATCACGCTCCCAATATCAATTTACGCTCCCAAGAGCAATTAAAGCCTCATTTAATAATTATTCTACATAGGTACTTATAGTTACCTTAACAGCTTTTAACTGTTGGAATTTTATCTCTGCCTTACAGTTGAGCCTCGCGCTCACATTGACAGTTGAGCCGGTTGCCATTTGAATACCGGCAATAACTCCAGTTCCATTCCTGAGAGCCTCCAGCCTATCAGGCTGTGCCAGTTGAGTGCTGAAACGCCATTTTGATTACTGGCGCAGCTAGAATTTTACATTTACCTGAGAACATTAAACATATTAGCCTTTATCTATCCTTTCAAACTATTGAAAAATAATAAATATTTTAAATAACTTACATCTTACTGATTATAGATTTGGTCTGATTCCCAATCTATTATTATGCCTAAAGCTATCTCAAAATCCAAACATGGCCGAAAGGCCACAGTAAGAGAGCAATCACAGGCTTCATTTAGGGAGGATCATAATCAGAAACAAAAGGAATGTGTACTTCCTATGCGCACAACCGCAAAACATTCTTTGGTGACTCCCAGTGCTGTCATCAGTCAGGACAAGACTGTTAAAAAGTCACGTAAAAGAAATAATTATACTGACTCTAAGGTTTCTTAGTTCAATCATCTGAAGTTTGGGGTTCTAATCCCGTTATGGGTACAACCATTACTGAGGAGTCTAGCGCTCCCACGTTCTCAGTGCTTAATGCACCTACATCCTCTGTTCCTATCCAAACTTCTAATGAAGTGGACCAGGCTCGAGATCAAGCGCAAATCAATTGGCGCACAGAGGACATTCAACATATGATTAATATGGATGATGCTATTTCACTATAGCCATAAACTTTTGCATTTGAGGAGTTATCTCGCTCCCTGATTCTTGCCGCTTGTCAGCAGTTTTAAGAAAGCGCAGAGTTTTTCCCTGCTATTTTAAACTGCCTCACAGCTGATTGAGGCTAATTAACATTTTCGACTACGAGGCTTGACTTTCTCTGGCTATCTCCGTTCATCAGTGCTTTGATTATTTGGCCAAATTAGACTGTTTAAGACAGATCTGCCTTCATTTGAGACTGAGCAGTGCTTCAGTTTTTGACAGTTACGCCAGCTCGAGTTCTTAGGTGACTGCTCGGCCGCCATTTTGTTTAAGGGCAAGGGCACAGTTTTTTTCTATCAAGCCTCCAATCCTTAGTTCTGTACTGGCTATAAGCATATTCTGTCCTTATAAACTAAGACTGCCACATCTGGCTACTGGAAATGGTGTTGGAGATATAATTTACATCTATGACATGTTTATATTAATTTAAACTACTTTTAAATTTACGTTGACCTATTACAGGGCTGATAAAATTTTAGGGGGTCCTTTCAACCCAATTGATTAATTAAGGCCAGTCATGCCTAAGGCTCTGGCCAAGTCAAAATTAGTGCCACAGTGCGAGAGCAGTCAGTGGATTCTAAAATGGAAGCTTCCAAGCATACACAAGGGGAAGGAGTAGCAATTAAGCCTTGTTCTGAGGCTCTTCCTAAGCGCAAGGAGAAGCTACTAAGAAAAACTATTGGCAAAGACAAAGGCACTGGCTCTGCCCCATTGGCTATAACGGTTGGGTCTCCAGGAGAATGTAGACATGCCTCCTCTCTGACCCAGGATCACATGTCAATACAAGATTTCCCACTATTAGTTGAGCCATCTGATTTATGGGGATCTCCTCCTCCTGTTCGAAGTAACAATAATGTGGAGTCTAGCACTCCCACTCTTACGGTGGCACAGTTTGTGGATAGCTAGCTCTGACAGTTTTCAGAGTTAGACTGTTTTCTTTCATACCTGATTGTTTGGATTTGACCTTGGATGTCGTACTTGGCTATTCTTTTGTTTGCTGGACATCCTTTAATCGAACTGGTAAGTTTCTGTATGTTGGTGGAGCTTTCCGCTCCCATGGGTGGCTAAAAATCACCGGCTTTGCCAGTGGAGCCCTGCATTTTAAACAGCGACTTCTCTTTGCGGAGTCTTGCACTCCCCACGGTCTTTGGGCAGCCATTTTTGTCACTGCCAGCCGCATAACTGTTAGTGGAGTTTTTTGCACTCCCTGTCTCTCGCCGCTTGTCAGCCTTTCACTCAGGCACAGCTTTTCTCCAGCAGACTCAATAGAGCCGCTTCTCAGCTGTTTGAGACTAGCTGCCGGGTTCTGAGTGGAGTCTTTGCGCTCCTTGACTATCACCGCTTGTCGGTTCTTTTCCTCCAGGTTCTGATTCTCTCCTGCGGAAATGAACAAAGCTCTGCCCGCTGTCACTATTAACCGCTTCTCAGCTGATTGACCTTGCCGCCGGCTTCAAAGTGGAGTTTTCGCGCTCCCTGTGGTTTGCCACTTGTGGTCACATCACAAGGGCTTGGTGATATGTAAAATCACCCTAATTTATACCTGCTCGACTCTTTGACTTCTCTTACCGGTCCGCATCTCAGCTGTTTGACATTGCTGTTCTGATCAGTAACGGAGCTTTGTGATCCCTGAGTTGGCAGTTCTGGCTGCCATTATGTTTAGGGGCGAGGCGACACGTTGAGCTTCTCTCAGGCCTCCAGTCTTTCTGGCTGTGCCTGCTACCCTGGCCTAACCTTGCCTTCAGCCCTTTTGGCAGACATTGCTTCACCTTACAGGCTTGGGGTTAATTGCCTTCTCTTTTCTCTGTTGCTGCCTCGCATATTTATCTCAGAATGCATCTAGAATTTGACATTCCCCTGATACAGGACTGCCTTGCTTAACATGGAGTCTATTTTCCACTTCTTGGGTGTTATATGGCCTATCATGCCTAAGGCTCTGGACAAGTCAAAACATGGCCACCAGGCCACAGTAAGGGAACAGTCAGTTGCTTCCAAGCGTAAGATGCCAAGCATGTGCAAGGGGATGGAGTATCCATTAAACCTCAGGCTAAGTTTTCTGCTAGACGCAAGGGAAAGCTTCTATGGAAGCCTGTAGTCAAGGCCAAGGACAGTGGTCCTACATCATCTACAACAGCCAGGGTTTCTCCAGGGGAACGTAGACGTGACCTCTCTCCGACCCCAGATCAGATGTTGCTGCAAGACTTCCTGGTGTCAGTTGAGTCAGCTGACTTATTGGGATCTCCCCCGCCTGTGGGGTATCAATGCTGTGGAGCAGGGCCGGATTTAGATGAAAAGAGGCCCTAGGCTATTCCACTTATGAGGCCCTTTCACCTATAATGAAAGTGTAATTTTAATTTTGCTAACAATTTGAATGTAGGCCCCTCTTGATCTTGAGGCCCTAGGCTGAAGCCTAGTTAGCCTATAGGAAAATCCGGCCCTGCTGTGGAGTATAGCACTCCAGCTGGGTTGGTGGTTCATTCACCTGTATCTTCTGCTCTGGTTCAAGCCTCTACAGAGGCCGGCCCAGCCTGAGACCATGATTCTACCCCTTTACATCCAGAGGACATTCAATGTATGATTGCAGCAATGGGCAACGATCCCTGTCGACTTATACTTTCTCGACTGCCAGACCGATTACAGTGTATTCGGTCCATTCGGACTATTCGGCTTCGCTGGACAGAGTCGATTTGGAAGATGCCCTCTCGCTTGTGGGCTCAGATTCTCCATCTGTCTCCTATGTCAGTAGACACTCTGTATCGGAAGAGATGGAGCCTCAGGAACCAGAGTTGTTGGAGGTTGAGGGCTTACCTCCGGATCAACCTGCATTCACGAGCCTATTTCCCCAGGCTCTGTTTAAGTCTCTTCTGTTTAACTCCTCAGCAGGACATTTCAGATCTCCAATTTACCATTCAGACACTGGCCTCACACAGCTTCTCTGTTAACATAGAGAAAGCCATCTGAAACTCTTGACTAGAATTCTTCATTTGGGAACTATGATTCTAGAATTATGGTTCCTAGATGACTAGAATTCTTCATTTAGGAACTATATTTGATTTAGTTGAAGGTAAGTTTTTCCTCTACCCGGATCGTAACCCGGGTTGAGATCTCTTGTGGCCAGGGTCATAAAAGATAGAACGTTCAACGTTGCAGAAGCTGTGGATGCTCTACGCTCCCCTTGGCCACAAGGTCTGTTGTACGCCTTTCCACCAATTCCTCTAATTCCGAGGGCAATTCGGAAACTAATACTGGAAAGGGTGGAAATCATTCTAATAGCACCACATTGGCCAAGAAGGTCATGGTTTGCAGACCTCATGAATTTATCAGTGACTCCTCCTTGGAGGATACCATGTATCACGAATTGCCTCAGCCAGGGCGTAATCACACATCCGGAACCACAATGGCTACAGATGACCGCATGGCGGTTGAGCGGGATGTTCTCCAGCGAAATCACATTCCATCTCCAATAATTAGAACTATGCGGGCATCTAGGCAGTCATCAACACAACGAATTTATTCAGCAACTTGGCGCACATTTACATCTTGGTGTGAGACCCAAGGTTTTTCTGCTCTTCAAGCTTCTGTTTTGCAGGTACTGATGTTTTTACAGGCTGGTTTAGAAAAAGGACTTTCTCCCAACACTCTCAAGAGACAGGTGGCTGCTATCTCATCTATCCTGACATATAATTCCAATAATTCATTGTCACATGATTCATCGTTTTCTCAGAGGAGCAGCTAACCTTTGTCCACCAGTAATACATCGATACCCTTCTTGGGAACTTTCAATTGTGTTGGATTCACTTATGGGTTCGCCATATGAACCAATAGACTCTACCAGTTTACGTCTATTGTCAGAAAAAGTTGTTTTTCTAGTCGCGATTACTTCGGCGCGACGTATTTCAGAACTTGCAGCATTGTCGGTCCGAGATGATTTATGTGTATTCCATGTAGATAGAGTGGTCCTCAGATTGGATCCTACTTTTATACCTAAAATTAAATCTTCTTTTCATCGTTTGCAGGAAATTGTTTTACCAGATTTTTATTCGTCACCTTCCAATCTATTGGAAAACAGATTACACATGTTGGATGTCAGACGGGCACTGAAGTTATACATCCAGAGGACGGCTGATATTCGTAGGACAGAGTCAATGTTCATTTCCTATCTTCCGGCTTCATTAGGAAATAAGGTATCTTCTTCGACGTTAGGTCGATGGATCCGAACAACGATTAAGATGGCATACGAACTGCGATCTTTGCCTCCTCCTACCAAGGTGACAGCTCATTCTACCAGAAGTGCTG